TAGTAGAGGCTCTATGACTCCCTTACCTTCTAAACACAGGAGACTTCTATGAGACATTTTAGATTTAAACCATACTATTCTAGCATTAGCCTTGGAAAGGTTAACGTACGTATCAAAATGTATTTAGTTCACTTTCAAGAGTTGCCAAATTCTTAATAGTTCCAGTGTTGCTGAAAAGTCCAAGTCCAAAGTCTCCTCTGAGACTAAGGGCAAACCCTTAAATATGAGACCCTATAAAAATCAAAAAGAAAGGGCTGGTGAGATGGCTCAGTGGTCTAAAGCACCTACTTAGAACAAACTTAGCAAAGCACAGGGACCACAGTTCAATCCCCCAGCACCACATGCCAGCCAGCCCCACCCTCTGGTGGGCTAAGGGGGCCACACACACACAAATAAATAAATAAAATTTTAAAAAAATTGAAAAGAAAGCTAAATACTTCTAAAATACAATGGCCCAAGGGTAAACACCCCACCCCAAGAGGGAGGGAGAACAGAATACAAAGGAATTGAGTCAAAGCATGGCTGAAAACTGATAGGGCAAGTATCAAATCCTGTAGGGGTATGTTTAGCACCTGAGAAGACTCCGGCAAGACATGAGTTCCAAAAGGTTTGGGTGACCCTGTTCCCACTGCACTGCTTGTTGTGGTCCACGTGTCTTCTCTTGGCTATTTGAGCTCCCTATGTTTACTGCCCACAAATTTCCTCAGTAGACATTCCATGTTTCTGGCATCTCTAACTTCCTGGAGTTTCCACTGTCAATTCACCCTCACAGTTTCCTGTACCCATAAGAACACCTGGAGGCATTCTGACTCTGTCACATATTTTTGCTTTTTTTTTTTTGGGAAATCTCAGTGGAAACCTCCATGACTCCATAATTCTTGAATTCTGTATACCTAAGAAAACAGTATCATGAGGAAGGAACCAAAGTCTGTCACTGGCTTGAGCAATAGCATGGCTCTCTTGGACGCTGGCTGCAGTGGTTTGTGAGTGCTGGGATGGCCAAAGATAGTGAAATAAATACTGGAAACCAATTCTATAGAAGTCTGTTCTTCACTAGGTACCTAGGGACTCCTTTTCAAATGAAAGTTCAAAGTTTTGAACCTTTGACCTGTACTGGGTGGGACTTTTCTGAGTCCTGAGATGCCCTCAAAACACGATTCTTATAATCATGATCCAAAGCACTTGACTTGTTTTTAATGCCAATTGTTATGGTTCGTGTCTTGTTGTCCCCCCAAAGCCTCATGCAGTCAAAGGGTGGCTTCTGGTTTGTGATTGATTATTGCAGGTGTGGGTACTGCATCAACCCTGAGACAAGTAATTTGCATTATAAGGTAAGGAAGGGAGAGGGGCTAGCTAGCTGCCTGAGCTGCTGCTACATGCTTTGTTCTCTGCTCTTTGCCGCCACCATAAATGGCTGCCCTCTGCCATGTGCTACTCTGCCTTGGAGCCAGCTGAGTTTGGACTGAACCCTTCACTAAATGTGAGCTAAATAAACCTGTCCTTCCTTAATTTTTAGAGTCAGGTATTTTTCCCAGCAACGAGAGAAGAGTAACTGAGACACCAATCTCTTTAGCAATCATGCTGACTTTTGCTCCAACTTTGAAGGTACTTAGTTTGTGTAGAAATTGCAAAGTTGTCCAGTCATTCAGCTTTGCTATTTGGTCCTGATTCTTACTGCGGAGTGGGCTGAAATCACCCAGAAGCAGCAATGGCACAACCTGAACGCTGGGCTGGTTTGAAATTTCTTCCAGCAAATTAATTACTTCTCCACCTTTCCTCTCAGTCTTCTGCAAAGTCTCAGGACATGGACAAAAATGAAGACAAATTTTCTGCCAGAGAATAATACACACAGCCTCTAGTTCAACTACTAATACGCTCCTTTATCCCACTTGAAAGAGAATCTACTTTTCTTAATAATTCATGAAACTCCAAGTCTTCCTATTTTTCTTCCACATGTTCATCTGAAGGTTTTGACTAAGTAACATCCCCCTCCCACTGGGAAAATCAAATCAACATCATTACTGATGACTTCAACAAATAAGTACACATTAGGCTATTGATATTACCAATACTAAATTCTACATTAATTATTTTTCTCTCTGAGAGTCTATCATCTAAAGCATAACTAGGAACCTTTTCAATCTTTGAAAACTATAAAAGAATCATACATACTAGCTATGACAGTTACAGACTAGCTTAGACCTATGCTTTTAAATTTATGTTTTTAGTTAAAAATTACTTCCATGCAATTTAAATCCAGAAAAATATGTGGGTCACTAACTGCTGTAATTTCAAATTGCATTTGAAGTTCTAAGTGGGCAAACCTCATTACCTTCCAATAATGAACTTGGAAAAGAGAAGGAGAAGCTGCCTTTAGGGCTGCAAAGAACAAGAAGGTTCATGGTACACTGATCCTGAACAACTGTGGGTACTTGACCACAACTGCAGAAAGGAAGCTCACACCCATACAGGGCACTTCTTAACAGTAAGATCTGCCAGCCCCAGAAGTAGCTTCTTCAGTGAACACTGCTCATCAGCATCTTAGCTGTTTCACACCAGGGCTGGGTGACAACCTGGGAACAGGTTGGAAGAGGTGGGGCTGGAGCCTATCAAAATGGCTCTGCCTTCATTACTTGCTTCATTAGTAAAAAGGAAAGACATACAAATCATGGATATGTCCTCCCCATATATGGCAGCCTCAAGAAGGAAATAGCAGAGCCCAGGGCAAGGCACAGTCATCTCAGCTTGCTACATTATAAAATGAAGGGTGACTTGATGGTAAGATACCTCAGAGTTCTAATGAATGATGGACATAATTAATTTCTCTGTGTTCATAATTCATTTGTCTATGTCTGCTGTATTTGAAAAAAATGTGTAGGAAAAGAGAAAAGACAAAGAAAAGCACTTGACTTAGGAAGCCTCTTTCTAGCATTCTGAAATAATGGCACAGAGTGTGAGCTCAGGGTGGAGAGAAGAGTCCACAAAGACCTGGAGGGAGGGGGCAACACTAGGTCCCACTCCACACTTAGCACCACTTGTCCCTCAGAACCCAGGGAGAAAAGACAGAATTCCAGTTGGGCCAGAATCAGCTAGAAAACAGTAATAAATTCATAATGAATCACTTAGAGCTGTCCCAAATATAGCATTCAACACTCTGTGTGAACATTATTCATTATAATGAGCATCTTAAAGTATCAATTACACATCTATAAGTTCTGTATTATATTCATGTGTCTGATTCTGAGATATCTACTGTGGTATAATTCCTAATGACAGTGACATTTCTAAAAATGAATCCTATGTGACCATAAAGTGCACATATGGTTAACTTGTCAAGACAAAAAAAAAAAAAATGAAATCAAATCTTATCTTACACAGGCTATTTCCACAAGCTGAAACAGCAAAGCTTTGCTACTAAGATATGATCTAAGAACTTGCAGGTCTCTAAAGAGCCTCATATTATACTTACACCTTGTCTCTCCATTACCAAGTGGAAACACAATTTTTCTTGACCTTAAATTTAATAATAATTTTAAAGAACTTGCAAAGATATACATATATATATGTCTTACATATATATATGTAAAGTTTATTTATTTATTTATTTATTGCGGAACTGGGGATTGAACTCAGGCCCTTGTGCTTGCCAGGGAAGCGCTTACTCCACTGAGCCATCTCCACGGCTCCTGCAGTTTATATTTAGGGCACACATTTTATTTATAGTTGGTGGCAAGTAATTCCAAATCAATTCTACTATACTCTTTTGAAAAATAGAAAACAATTCTCAAGAATAAATATTAATGCTAATATAAAGTCCTAAAATAGGACTTACTTTCTCTGGTACATAGCAGGTGTTTTCCCTTAGGTTTGCAGGGGTCCTCAGCTAGTGTCCCTGAAAGTAGAGGTGAGAATACCCTAAACACACCTAGAATTGTTCTGCTCATACCTCTTAGCTCTTTTTTTTTTTCAAACAAAAGCTACTATTCGGATGTCATGACTTAATTCACTTTGAAGTTATTTACTTTTTCTAACATAACAAATCAATGCTTTTGAAAGATATATATCCTGAGGTTTTTTTCATGTTTCCTCTAAAAGAGAAATATGTCATTAGTTTTGTTTTGTTTTTTACTAAAAATGATGACAAAGGGTTGCTCCTGTATTTAAAATCTTTAGACTATAAATATGCATGGGTATATATAAAAACATGGATTTCATGCTTGCAAATACTTTTATATCTATGTCTCAGACTTTGCGGCAACTACTCTGTACTGATGGTATCCTAAATTATAGTGATGTCCCTAAAAGGAATCCTACGTGGAAGTAGACCTGAGCCACAGCACTTTCAGAAAACCAGGAGAGAAAAGGAAATGCCCTTAGAAACCACTTACAACCACATTAAGGAAAAGAAAAATGTAACACATAACACTCTGGAGTAAGTAGGTAGACCACAATTTAGAACTCTAAAGGGTCAGATGCTTTACACATCACGTCTATAACCCAAGAAAGGTTAGATAATGAACAAACTTGAAAAAAAGACATTGAAAAAACAAAGTATTTTCTGTTCTTTTCTCTCTTCCCTCTTCCCTCTTTATCTCCCTCTCTTCCTCTTCCCCTATTACTGCAGAACCATTCAGCTTCTATAATTCCTTCAAAGCAGCTCTCCACATGGAAACCTCTGAGTCTTTCCTGTCTCTTCAGTTCTTGATAACCAACATTGGAGAGTCAGGGCTACAGATCCATAAAAATAACTTTGAATTTGATGAGTCTGGGCTCAGGCAAATAATCCATCTCCAGATGTTTGGTAGCCATGGCTCTTGTGACTTATTTGGAGGGACTAGCAAGGCACACATTAAGATGCAGCCTACCATGTGTCTCGGGGCGCAAGACCTGGAGAGACTCTGTCTCAACTATGGGGATCTAGCTGCCATGGACTTAAAGATGTTCAGCCATGCTTATCCATTTTACCACCATTTAGATAACTTTAGAAACTAAGTGTTCCATCAATGTGCAAGCACTAGGAGAAAACACAGATGATTACATGATTCCTTCGGATAGTATTTAATATCTAGTACGTTACATGGCAGCACAGTGTGGCCATGCTTTTCTTGGAACTTTGACTTCTTACTTAGAACCATGAAGTGAAGGGCTTGTGGAATGAGTCACCAAGTAAATCATTTTCTAGATTGTAAGACTGATATGATCATTTCCTGGACATTAATTCCCTATAACTGAGAAAAGAACAGCACCATATTGTCTACTTTTCTTTAGTGGGAAATTAAAATACAGGAACAATAACCATGACAGATGAAAAGAGTCTATCTGCATTGTTAATTAGGCAAAAAAAAAAAACAAAAAGAAAGAAAGAAAGAAAGAAAGAAAGAATGAATGAATGAATGAATGAATGAATGAATGAATGAATGAATACAGGGACCCAGACATACTGACTTGTCCTCAGCACACAGTCCTGCCCACTACAGAACTGCTCAGGTGTGTGCCCACCCCCACCCCCACCCCTCTTGCCCCACTCACGGGTAACTGGCCTGCTCTCCTCAGGCTGGGAATTGTCCACCGACTGAGTGCTGGAAACTGAGGAGACACTGGAGCTCCGGACAAAGCCAAACGCCGCCAGCTTGGCAGCCGGAAGACGTGAGTATCCAGGAGGACGAAGCCCAGATTTGGGTAGGTTGGATTTTGCAGCATTTGAACTGGAGGCTTTCTTTAAATCTGTAGAAACGAACCCAAATGAAGATTCTCAGTTCACAGAAAGAGAATGCCACAGAATGTAAATTCTAACCTAGCTCTGTAATAAACAGATGAAAATTAATTTTGTAGAGTTGATTTCTGCAAATGAATCTTTTTACAAAAAAAAAAAAAAATTTCAGTAACATTCTTGGCTAAAAGCAAACCTTTATTACCTAATAAAATATTCACCAAATTGTAGTCTAAATTTAAATATTGGCCCATTTATTCAAAAATCAATGAAGAAACTGTATATTAGAAAGTATGTATGTGTGGAAACATAGAAAACTAGTAGAGGCCATGCCATGTCAGTGAGTCTCTGCAAAATTCCTGCATCCTCCACCAGCAGCTTCCCCTCAAAGTGAGGTCATGGCCAGGCATCCAGCTAAGCACAGCTTGACTATGCACCCCTGTGGTTTCCTGGTTCCTCTGTCAGGAGAGGGAGGAGAAGAAACACAGGCATGCAGAAGGTAAAGGCAGCAGGGGCAGGGCTGCGAATATTCTCACCCTACATCTGTTCTAAGGCTCGGAAAAAGTGTTCCTCTATGAAAAAGAAGAAACAATGCACAGTTTACCACACAGCAAAGGCCTGTTAGTATCACCAATGAATGTCATGTTTAATGTCTTCAAATTGCTCTCCCATTACTTTGTAGACTTTTAGATGATGCCCCTAACAGGGAAAGGCTGCCTATAGTGCACACGTCATTTTCACACCAAACCGATGTGGGATGTATAGAAAGCTGTAAAAGACCTGCTAAAATCATATGTAATTTAACCATTAATTGTACTAAATAATCACCATTACTCTTTGCAAAAGATTACATATCACTTCTCTAAAAAGGCTTAGGACTGCAAGTGTTTCAGAATTCAAAGTTGTTTAGACTTTAAACATTTTCAGGGAATTGACTCATTGATCCTAGTTTGAAAATTTGAAATCCAAAATGCTGCAAAATCTAAAACATTTTTAGTATCATGGGAGTCCTCAAAAAGTTTTCAGATTCTGGATTTTTCAATTAGGGATATGCAATCAGAAAGTTATCTGTAACCTCCCTAAACTAGTTAATAAGTAACTGACTTCATATACAATAATTCAAGTATGAAAATACAATTTTTTTTCTGTAAAATAAACTCATATTTGGGAAAAGTCAGCCTTCTAACACTGGAATATGGTAAATATTCACCCAATATTTCTCAAAAACTAAAACCTAAATTTGTTAAATCACTACAAAAGACTATAAAGCCACTGAATGTATTCAAACACAAATTTATCTTATCTATCCTTATTTACGTTCAATCATATGGTTCGTGTCTAGATGTTCCCCCAAAGCCTTATGCAGTCATGGGGATGGACTTTTGGAGTTGGCTGAAACTAGAATTTGTGACTGATTCGTGGTCCAATGCTAGGATTAAGGGGTGAGTGCTATATCTGGTGTGCAGTACAAGAGACAGAAAGAGCCTTGTCTCTCCTCTGTCCTTGCTGCTTCTGCTGTCTTCTGTCACCATGAACACTTACACTTGTCCCTCCACCATATGTTACCCTGCCTTGGAGCCAGCTGATTATGGACTGAAATTTGTACAACTGTGAATTAAATAAATCTTTCTTCGCTTAATATTGGGTATGCAGTATTTTATCTCAGCAATGAGAAAGCTAAGACAGAAGGCATAAATGTGTGTGTGGGGGTAGAGAACACAGGATATCAACTTCTTAGGAAATAGTCTCTAAATAATTTTATAGCTTTATCTTCAGAGCACCACTTTTTAAAACAAAGGCATAAACAATAAACCTTTTTTCCATGAGTTTTACATCCACAGATTCAGCCCCCTATAGATCAAAAATATTCGGAAAAAAATCACATCTGTACTGAACAAGCATGGACATTTTTTTCTTGTTATTATTTTCTACACAATATAATAGCCAGGGATATAGCTTAGTGGCACAAGTGCCTGCCTAGCAAGCAGAAGATCCTGAGTTCAATCCCTGGTAAAAACCAACACAATAAAATCGCTAGTTATACAGCATTTACCTATTATTACCATTTATTTTGTATGACGTATTGTAAGTAACCTACAGATGATTTAAAGTTTCTAGGTCCTATGCATAGGGTATATAAAAATATTACACCATTTTGGAAGGCAGGTATGCTCACCTCTATACCACCAACGCAGATATATTACACCATTTTGCCCAAAGACTTGAACATCCAGAGATTTTTGGTATCTAATGAGGTGGGTAATCTCCTAGAACCAATTCCCCATAGATAACTGAAGGATGAATGTCTGTCTTTCTCTCTCTTCCCTCTCTCCTTTCCTCCTTCCCTCTTCCCCTCCCTCTCTCCCTTTTTCCCTCCCACTCCTCCATTAGAAAATGCCTATAAGGGCCCAGACATAGGACTTCGCAAAGACTTCAAGAGCACTAGTAACAATGAGAATTGAGAGACCACCTCCTCTAGCCACTTGAATTTGAAAGGAAACCCAGGGCCAATCCTCCTTCCACTGTTCTGAGAAAAGCAGAAAATAAACTGACAGAGAGCCAGGAAATCTCTACAGCTCCAGGCCAAAGCACATGCATATTAAACCTCATGACCTGAGCCTTCAATAACCTTTTCCCCACTTGAACCTTATTAAAGGCTCATAAACTCGGGCCATACCTCACATGTGTAATTTAATCAGAATGAAACTGGGGCGCACATGTGCACTGAAGACCCCCAGATGATGCAGCACCTTGCCAGTCACACCTGTCATTCTCCTCCCAGAAGCCGAATAAAAGGTGCCAGGACTGGGTTATGTATCTTTTAAAACCTCAAAGTGTGCTTTATGTGTATGCTTTTCATTTTGTTGTCACCCAGGCACCACTTTCTGTTCATGCCTGCCCTGAGTACTTGTTCGCATTACCTACAGTGAATGTAGTTATTTCCTCTTCTACCCTTGGATGGACATTTGTAGTATTTTTTTGTTTTGTTTTGGTTTGGTTTTTTTTGGTGCAGGGTCTCACCACACAGCCCACATTAGTAGTGATCCTCCTGATTTCTGCCTCCCAAGTGCTGGGATTACAGGCCTGTGCCACCACACCCGGACTCCATCACTGGCTCAGTGCACCCAGGGGTGGGGCCAGTGTGGCACGTGGAGCCAGGTATCGAACCCTGGCTCCTGCGCTTACCTAAGCAAGGGCTTAGTCTGCTTAGTATTTTGCTTGTCGTGCTAAAGGGCCTGGTGAATCCTCTACAGTAAGTATCATCCCTATTATAAAGAACTAAGAAGACCAAAATGAGGTATAATGTTAATATGCTGAGCTGTAAGAGGCTCAAGTCAACAACTTCTGACAATGCCAGTCCTACAGATAACCCACTACTATTATGGACTACTGGACTATATTGGATTATTTCGCTGAGTTCACGCACCTACAATATTTAAATGTCAATGGAATACCCATACGAAGACAACAATATGCAATGTATTAATTATTGAAACTGTCCTATTAATCAGTTTTGAAACTGTCTCATTGCTATTTCTCAATAAAATAAAAAAATAAAAATGAGGCTATAATGTCAACTAACATGGCAAGCTACTAAAAATTACAGTTAGTAATTTAATCCTGAAAAACAAATTAGATAACCTAGTAAAACAGACAAATTGTTGACATACCACTATGATAAGCTGACTCCAGAATAAACAGAAAATCTGAATACACATGTAACAGATTAAATTATTATTATTATTATTAAACAACTTTGAAAAGGCAAAGCCCAGGCATAGATGTCTTCAATAGTAAATTCTAACAAACATTTAAAGAAGAAGGCAGGTGTGTGGGGGGTGCATGCCTCTAATCCCAGCACTGAGAAGGCTAAAGCAGGAGGATCATTTATGTTTGACACCAGCTTGGGTTACAAGATGAGCTCAAAGCCAGCCTGGACTGCACAGTGAGACCCTGCCTTGAAAGAAAGAGAGAGCAGAGGGGAAGGGAGGAGAGGGGACGGGAGAAGAGAAGGAAGAAAGGGAGAGAGGGAAAGGAAAAGATAGGACAAGACAGGGCTTCCCAAAACTCTTTCCATAAGATCAGTACTGTATTACATTCATAACACAGTAAACATAAGAGAAAAAAAAAACCTACTGTGCCTCTTACCAGTGCAAATTCTCACCAAAATATCAGCACAGTTAAAACAGCAACCTACCGACCAGCATACAAGGGACTATATGTCATGACCAAATGAGATTTAGCCCAGGAATGGGAGATTAAGGTACTACTACAGACTGAAGTCACGATCTGACACCATATTGACAGAATAAAGAAAACCCTCATGACCATCTCAATGGATGTAGAACTCTGAACAACAGCATGATGTAAAAAAGAAAAACACTTACTGAACTTATAATGAAAAAAATGGTTTTATGATTTGATAAAGGCAGTTAATGCCATACTTACTGGTAAAAGAACAAAAGCCTTCCTTCAATGACAAGGGGGAGAGAGAGAGAGAGAGAGAGAGAGAGAGAGAGAGAG